CTCCACCTCTCGTCTCTCTCTCTCTCTCTCTATCTGTCTATCCCCTTCCCTCCCTCCGTCCTTCCTTTCCTCCCTCCATCTCCCCCTCCCTCCCCCACCCTCTCCCTCTTCCCACCAGATGGACAAGCCGCTCGTGAGGAAGAACCTGCCGGCGCTGGCGGAGCAGATGCAAAACGTGGCCGGCCAGCTTCGCTCCGTGGCCGCCTCAGCCGAGCTCTTCAAGATGGTGGCGCGGACGAGGAACATCATCAGCAACACCCTCTATCCTTTGGAGAAGCGGAAGGTGATGGCGCTGGGCGTGGTGCCGTGGGAGGGGGCGTGGGAGACGGGGAGGGGATGGGAGAGGACTCCTCTTGGTTCGTGTTAGGGTCATAGAGAAGGCACTAAAGGGCTTTTCGGAAAATAAGTGAAGAGTAAACATTCATTATGTGTGAAAGGGAGTGAAATGAACTATAAAGTAATTCCAAAATCAAGATAACTGTTCTGATCACCCCTTTTCCGCGGGCTTGCAGGAGGACGTGACCTACCAGGTGGCGACGCTGGACCTGGAGGTGATGCCCCTGCAGCGCCAGATCAACCAGAGCTCCGGCCACCTCAGGACCATCCAGTATTTCATCCACAGCCACGGGTCCTCTCTTGCAGCCGCCGTGAGTTGCCTATCTTTAAGGGAACGGAATGTTATGAACGGCTTGAACGTTTTGATTTAGGTGACTGCACTTTCAGTAGGAAATAATGGAAAAAAATTGTGTGTGTTTGTGTGATGTGTTAATATCTTCTAAGAAATCAGTTGAGGGAAAAGGATCAATAATGCTTCATTGTAAAAAAAAAAAAAAAAAAAAGATTGAATGAAAATGAATATCAACAAAATAGATGAAACTGACCGGCTTCGAAAATATTTGCGTTAGAAATGCATGTATTTCTGAGGAAGATATATTCGAACCCGTTGCAATACATCTCTTGTAATGTGAAGATGTTCATTATCATTCATTCCTTTTCTACATTTGTCAACATGAATACGTCTCAGCGCTTCATCGATTCCCCTCAAATCCCGATGTAATGCTCATTCAAGGGTAACCAGTCATTATATGCCTATACAGAGAAATATATGCATTAAATATCAGTCTAGACATGCAAATCTACCGGATAGATAGATAGATGGATGTATATCTATCAAGTAGATAGACAGATATGCATCTCCTTCTGTGTATATGCATGTCCGTATATATATGAATATTCACTGGGTCGGGCCTGGTACAATTCAGTATACAACACACATAGATATTGCACATCATGGCATGAATATTTTTACACAACTCAACGTACCTCATGTTAATTTGAGTCTTTTTTCTGAGTGCTTTCCAGGTCCTAAACACTCAGTATAGGTACTAAAAATATTGGAAATTATACCGGAGTATAATTTGTAATGAAACGCGGCAGGGTGTACCCGTAGATTTTAACGGCAATTTATCACTCGCGGTGCGTAAACTTTAATTAGCTGTCGATTCGGTAATGCCTTTAATTACTTTCGTTTGATATATTCCATGGCTATGCTAATTTGAACATATGCCTTAGGACTGAGATATTATTAGATATCAACGGTATCTAATTTTCTAATATTATATATATTCTTTCATTTATATTTGGCATACTAATAATCAAAGAACAGTATCATGTGAGCATGAAGAAAGATACATCACGGAATCAAAACGAATTAAAGGAAAGGAAGAAGAAGAGAGAGAGAAGAAGAGAGAGAGAGAGAGAGAGAGAGAGAGAGAGAGAGAGAGAGAGAGAGAGAGAGAGAGAGAGAGAGAGAGAGAGAAGAGAAAGAAGAAGAGAAAGAGAAAGAAAGAAAGAGAGAGAAGAAAAGAGAGAGCGAGAGCGAGAAAGAGAGAGTGAGAGATTGAATTAAAGAAAGGAATGAAATAGAAAGAAAGAAAGAAAAAACAAATAGAAAGAAGACCGCACATCGCACTCTCTTTCCGAAATATCTCTCCCCTGACTACGACCTCCCCCCCCCCCCTCCCGCAGAAAGCCCGCGGCTACGTCGAGAGAATCCTGAGCTACACCCGCCAGTACACCGAGCACGTGCGCAACGCCGCCCTCTTGCACGTCGCCCCCTGCACGCCCGTCTGGAATCTCTTCGACTCGGCTCGCGGTGTCACTTGCAACGGGATCATCGAACCTCTGGCAAGTTCTCTATCTTTTCTTTCACTAGCTTTTCTTTTCTTTTACCTGTTTTTTTTTTCTTCTATTTTGTATTTATTTATTCATTTATTTATGTTTTAGTCAGCTGGGCTTTGTGCTTGCTTTGTGTGATGTCTACTTTGTGTGGTCTCTTTCGTGTAGTCATGTGGATTGATGGCAGGTCATTCATATGTATATATGTTGATTTAGCTTCATCATCTCATTAAGTATGCATGGAAATATTCACGGAACATAATCTGGATACATATATTTGTTATATTACCCGAAATCATCCTAAGTTTATTTTCATTACTCGTATCGTATGTTACTTTGATTAACTGCGTACTGTGACAAATGGGAGAAGGAGAATTAGATTTTTATCTTCTTATATACCAAATGTCTGGTTTCGATAACGCAACTAAACAGGAATAATTGTAGTGTAGAGTGGAATAAAGAGTGCGAACGTAAAATAAAAAAGAACCACAGTTGACTTGTTACACAGACATCAAAAGAGCAACTCCTTCCCCAGAACGCGCTGTGGTTGGCTACCTGCTGGTGCCTGCTGCTCTTCCTGCCGGCCATCGTGATAAGCCTCGCCCTGGCGCGGTTCTACCTGCGGATGGAGAACGACGACGACACGCTCCCTCTGTGAGTCAAATGCTCCTGTTTCTTTGGCGATATCTGGAGATAGTATTCTTTGGCGATGTTTGGGGACATCAAAATATAAATACTGGAGACAGAACATGTTTTTTTTTTAACTGGTCCTACTTCTTTGACCATGTTTGGGGACATCAAAATATAAATACAGTAGTTTTTTTTATCAGGTCCTACTTCTTTGACCATGTTTGGGGACATCAAAATATACACTTCACCATGTAGGTCCTACTTTTTTTTCAAAATATAAATTTTTTTTAACTGGTCCTACTTCTCTGACCATGTTTGGGGACCAAAATATAAATACGGTATTTTTTTTAATTCTACTTTGACCATGTTTGGGGACATCAAAATATAAATACAGTAGTTTTTTTTAACTGGTCCTACTTCTTTGGCGATAATTGGGGGTAGGGGTGAAACAGCTACAGTAATGAAAGAGATGCAATATCAGAGACGTATTCAGTAATAGTGGCGGGGAAACAATAGGAGTTTTAGTGTGATTTTATTCCTTAATATATGGCGACATTGTTGCTTTTCTTCTCTCATAATTCGAGTGGAAATAAACAAACGTATTGGTACGTAGAAATAGAGAGAAGTATTTAGGAGACAGACTGAAATGTAGGTAGACAGAGAAATTGACAGATAGATGAATAGATAGAGGAGAAGTGGTGCTTTAGGTACTTAGACTGATAGACATACCTAGAGTAAGAGTGGTACATTCCATTGATTTTCACTAGTGTTGTAGTTGAGAGCAAATTGAGTCATGCCACGAACCTTAGACCAGTTTCCTTACATACTGACCGTCCATTTATTTAAAAGCTTAAGGCGAGAGTTCTTAGAGCCCCGATTTCCCCAGCCACTCGAACGGGTCGCCCCCGGGCTCGAGCACCAACCTGCAGGGCGGCGCGTCGTCGGCGCTGTGGGGGCCGAAGGCGACGCCGCACGCCCACGCGCACCACGCCTACCCGAGTCGCCACCACAATGGGTGAGACGAGTGCGGCAAGTGCTCCGTAGTGTACCTTTTTTCTCCCACTAATGGTGTACCATTGTGTATTACCTGTATGTCTTTTTGAATTGGTGTAACGAATGTAACCTCATAATATCAGGCACCCGGTTAGTTTGATAGTACCAGTAAGTACCATTACCAGTACCAGGCGTGGGCTACGAGGTAGTGCGGGCATCCCTCCCCCCCCTCACTTGCCCGGGACGACGAGGAAAGATCACTTGCTTGTTGCAGACCCGAAAGAGGCGAGAGGCCGGAGCGCGAGCACCCGGAAGTCCCCCGCGAAGCGACCTCGCGGTTCCGCAGGCAGCCGCGCGCCCCGCAGCGTCTGGCGCCGGAAGAGGTGGTGGCGGGGGCGCAGGTGGCGCGTGGCGGGACGCGTGGCGGCGGCCGGCTTCGTGACTCTGGAGCTGGTGGCGCGGCACGTGCACCGCCCCATCGACTGGGTGCACCAGCACTGGCACGACGACCCGCGGGTACTGGCCTCCTCTCTCGCCGCCTCCCGAGTAGAGCACTGCTACAGCGACCCCGCACCGGCCGCTCCCCGTCCCGCTCGCGCCTGCCAACCGCAACCCTACATCGTGTGCTGGGGATGCTGTGACGCACCGGCCTCCAGCTGAGATAAGTAGCCCGGCCCAGGTCTCGCGCCCAGCACATGGTACGCCCACGCCCGCTGCTGATCACGTTCTGCGCTTTCGTTGGCCTTGTGGGATTCAAATGCGAGAGTAGAGCAAAACAAATAGTTGACAAGAAGTTTAAGCTAACAAAAAACAAATAAATATATAAATGATAATGCTCATGACAAGAGATGAAATGTCTTTTGAATCCAGCTTGCAGATCCTGCCTTGAGATGGTAAAACGTATTGTCTTTAGTTTCGTGTCCTATTCCGTCAACTACACTCCACCTGTAGACTTTGGAATAATTAGATAGTATATTGGATCAGCAGGACTATCCAGAACTGAACTAGGCACAAAGTAAATCAGCATTATGCTATTTCGGCTCATCTGATAAAGTTCAAAGGCTTTGTGCTTTACTTTCATCCTCACATCAAAGCTACCGCTTTCACTTCCAACCGCAGTTGTAAAAACCAGCTTCACAAAATTCCATCATTAGCATACGCCATCAGCTTCCAGCCCATGGAACGTAAAGAGCCTTCTCTGTACCCAGCAGAAACAAACACTGGTGAAGTACGCTCCTCCCCGCGCCAGGACGGCCACCTCCCTCGCCCTCTGACGTGGGAAGTCTCGCCCCTTTGGTGAACCGTGACCTGACTTCCCTCTGGAGCAGGAGTGCCATGCCTCTCTCCAGGTGCCACAAAGATGCCATCCTCCAGCACCTTACCGAACTGTCTTCATTCATTCATAGGATTCGGAGTTGTAAATAAGTTTGATACTTGGCAATACATGTAAATGGCTTGGCTACATGTTTCAGGTTGTGCGAATGTGTGTTTGTGTGTACTCTTATATTTTTTCTTTTTGTTTAGGTCAAAGTATTCATAAATTTTATGATTTCAGTAAGTACTACGTTTTCATGATTTCATCATGTAAATTGAAAATGAAATATGATAAAACTCTATCGAAATCTTGTTTACATAATTATTTGAATAATATTCATATCATAATTGTTTATTATTTTACTTTTCCAGATTTTTATATTTTCCTATTTTGTGAGCTATATTAATATGATTTTTTCAGTCAAATATGAAGCAATTCATGTAGAATGGTACATCTATATTTTCATAATACATAAAGATATCCTTAAATAGTAAGTGTACTTATGAACAATTGTTATATATATTTTATAATTTATTCATTTGAGGTGATACACTTCTTTTAAGTAATTCCAATCCTCTGAGGATATGCACTGCACCCCTTTTTACCACCGTACGTTCTTGCACTTGTTGGTTATAGCATTTAATTTGTTTATCTAGTCAACACAGCCAAAACACACTGTATTTCCCTCTCCTTTTGTACGTTTTCATTTTTTTTCTAATGGCACTGATTTAGAATATCTCATCTGCACTGTGTTCAATAATTATCGTGTGAGAATATTTGAAATAGCTTGGTGTGAAACTGAGACATTATTTTTCCTTTATTTTAGGTTATAGCAGTCAACGCCATGAAATGGTTTGTTGAGTAATGTAAGAGTTTAGGATTTGCATTGTTTTGTACACTAAGCGTAGATCATCTAATTTCGATGGAAAAATAAAACGAAGAAAGTATACTTTTTCTATTTATTTACTTATCTGACAGAGGTTGTGGGCTGTGTCAGGGGGACTGCCATTCGGGCATGGGCATAAGGCATGGAATGACAATGCCCAACTCTGCCCCTCGGCCGTGTCCCACATCCTGACCACGCCCACCTCCTCATAACAACGTACACAGTGGGCGTCGTCCCGTCCATTCGCTCACTATAACAAAACAGTCAAATTCGTTATTCTCTGACCGGGGCAGGTCGCTCGGTCGATCCTGGGAGGGGCACGGGGCAAGACCGGCTGGCGTGCGGGTGACAGTGTCTACCGGAGGATGATTTAGCCTTGCTTTTCGAGTGGACAAAGGGAATTTCGAACGTGAGGGGTATTTGTGCTTTAGGAATAGCTTCCGGAGAGAGATAAGCGTAGATAATGATGTCGATACATCAGAAGCTAAGTTCTTAACTGATTCTGTACCTAACTAGACCCGAGGTATAAGACATATCTTAACAGCAGACATGAAATGAAAATCACGTATTGTTATGAAGCATCCTCGATAAAGGGTTGTTATTTCGTCTACTTCACAGAGCCTCAACATCTTGCTTCTGTTCTTGCCCCTTGCCCCCCCTGCTTCCTCCACCTGCCCTGGTCTGACGCGTGGTCTGACAGGCAACGGAACACTCAGCGTAAACAACTATACACAAACTGCGTCCAACAATTTCATCTTGACAACCACAGTACTTCTGCCTCGTGGCTCTTGCCTTGCGAAGGGAAGGGAGCACGTGCCTCGGCTCAGAGGGGAAGGAGGAATGGGATGAAGATACGGAGATACAAAAGAGGAGGTGTGGACTTTACGTAAAAGATTGAAAGTGAATATAGCAAAATATTACAATGCTCTGACGAAAGATATAAACTTGCAACAAAAGATGCAATACAATAATTTTTTTCCGAAGCAAAAATGCACCTGACAGGTTGGTGATGCTCAATGACAGGTGAGTCATTGAGCTTGGTTAGACATTTTCTGATACAACTTTGTCATTCGAACACGTTGTAGCTATTCAGTCTTAATCGACTCTTAACTTGCATCTTTGCCTCAATGAAAAAAAAAGAAAGTTTGTATCCCTTACCCGTTTGGACACTGAGCACAGATAAGAAATGCATACATACCGACACAAAATTTGAAAAATAAGGAAACAGACCATTGAGAAAGGAAAATTAGAATTGCAATACAAACACAACATATATTTCCTGCTTTTCTGAGAGAGGAAAATCAGAATTGAACACAAACACGAGATACATTTTCCCTTCCCTTCGCTCCGGACACCAAAGCCACGCCTGGCGAGCCCGTGTACTGGGTGAGGTAACATACTAATCACAGAACGCAGTATCAACTAACTATTGACATTATTGCCTTCATCTACTGATCCTCGCAAAGAAGCCACACTCCTGGGATTTTTTATTTGTTTT